TAATTGATCTTAATCCATTGTTCCGATTAGCGGGGATTTAAAATTTAATAAACTTACTTGATAATGAAATCTTTGAAAAAAAAATATTTTTTTCGCTGATCCACGTCTTTTTCTTATTCATGAATACATGGGTATATTTCGTCAGTTAAAGAGTCGTTATTTTAGTTAGATAGGTAAATAAGATATTCTTTTCATAAAAATATACTGGATAACAATCTTTTTTTCCCACTGGAATAAAGATCAGTTGGATTTTCCTTGTATTCTGAATAAAAGCCATATTCATAGGTCACTGATATGTGAATAAAAGTTTTGAAAGGAGTTAGTTTTAATGTGTTTACATAGCACAAGTATTGTTCACCACTTGATAAGCGATCCATTTATATTTCATGGAGCCAACTAGAAGAGAATAACTTTGAATGCATCAAACGTCAAGTAGTAAAAAAGGAATACGAAGAGCCGATTCTTTTGACAAATCAAGTATATAACAGCTTCAAAACTAATTGGCAACAAATATCAGAGGGTTATAATGCACAGTTTGCAGCTTTAATGGGAACTGCTTGATTTCAAGAGAGTTTACCTTAAATCTTGATATCAATCAGATGATCACTCAAAACCTTTAGGCAGTAGATAATTGTTTTAAACCATTCTGGAAATTTTTAGTTGTCCATAGCCACTACCCAAAGCAGGTGGGACGCAGAAACGTCTGGTTGCGCAGTGAGCGCATTATTAATCAGCTAATGGATTCCAATATCTAGTATTCCACATTCTCTCACTTTATCAGTTCACCATTATTGTATTCTACTACAAAAGAATTAAAGTCTCCTGTATGACAAGTTTTTCATTTTGAATATAAATGTTTAACAGTGGTGTACAGAATCTCTTTCTTTTGAAATGGTACTTCCTCATAATCACCAAACATCATATTTGTGATCTTTTAAATTTTCGTTTGTAAACAATATACGTGAGTTATCGTTACATTTTCAGTCACTATAGATCCATTTCCTACTTCGACTGTAGAAAAGTACCCCATTAACTTCAACACCCAATGACTTAGTTTATCTACAAATTTAATTGCAATAATTGCGAACACCACTATGCACGACAGTCAGGTAGACCAGCTGGCTTTCAAACGTCATGATATGAAATGTCTTACTTCGACAGACTGCGACAGTCACAACTACACATTCGACTTGGACAACTTCAAAATACTCAAAAGTTTAAACTTTAAAGCAATCCGAGAGTTATCAGAGTCACGGCACTCAGGCAGATTAGCAATAAATCGTCACATAGACCTAAACAGAATAGATATGCCCGTTCTGTACAGCTCAAGTATATGAATCAAACATTCTAAGCTTAAGAAAAACCTCGAGGCAAATAAGTTAGAATTACCGATGAATTAGGTCAAGATAACTCATGTACAACTAACAAAAGTCCCGTACCCAACTAAGCAAATCCTCCTTTCCAACAAAATTTAATTGACCAGTAGAAGAAAAGAACACCCTACAGTTACAGCAGCTCAACCAATCGGCATAAAGCATTTCCTCTAATGTCCAGGAGTCACCAGTCTGGTCAAGAAAACCTTCATCACTGCAGTTAAACAAAAGGGTCAATTAATCACAACGAAGCAACATCAATATGTTACAAACAAACAAAAAAAATCAATTGATTACGTAGTTCCACACCACTCGGAGAATAATAGATGCGCAGAGTCAGCCAATCAAGTTTAGTATGCACCCGTGCATGCGCTGAGTGACCGGTCGAATTGCAGTCCAACAAAGTAGCACATCATCAATATATGTTCGAAGCAAAATACTTCAGTTCGTTGTGAAGTTCTGATGCACTGACGACGATGTCTAGCACGGTACTGAATGGATTGCCAACTGAAACGCTAGCTGAGAGAGCAAATCGTTCTAGATATTTACTTATCCATTTGATCATTACCTACCTGATTCCTGTCGAAGAAACTTTTTGCACAGTTTCCTTCATTTCAGTATAAGATAACTGCAACCGTAGTAATGACTGCCTGCAGCCGCTTTCGACATTCATATAATCACGGTAACAATTACTATATTTAAGACACAAGTCTGATTAGGAAACATTGAATATATGTATTGTCTCAATAGTCTGAGGCATTCCATAAAAACCGAGGTAGTAAATTTAAATTAGTAAAACAAGAAAAATGCTGTAGACTGTGTGATCAGTAACGGATACTCAGCCATCTTTTTGGATATTCATGTGATGAATCCTGATGCACTCGATAGAAGGTCAGCTAACTTGTGTAGTACATAAATGGTGGATAGTATCTACAAGTGGAACCCAGGAATTGACTCTTGTCCTACCTGCGACTCATTAGCTGGATGTACCTGCTTTGCAGTGAGCGATGTTGTCCCTAATAAGACTCGAACCAGATATTGTAAATCTGAAATAACATGTCTTACACTCTAACTATAGTTAATTTACATATACACACAAGCAAACAAAATTCCTCATTTATATTGATTTTCTCACACTGGTTTTCACCTACTCATACATTCACACACATTTATTACAACACCATGACCTCATTGACTAATAAATAATGACGATAACATGCATTTTCATCTTACCATAATTATGCATGTATGTCTTACTTCGTCCATTTACTGTTTGAACATGAAGTAACACGAACTGATTTCTATGAGGCTGTGAAATCACAGAAGTTTACACATTGACTTTATGAGGATTTTACGAATATATTTCGTTTTCCCAGTGGTCTACTTATTTATTTCTACTCGATTGCATGCTAAAAGTGATGTTTATAAAATCTTCGCACAAAGTGGATAAGAAACATTAGGTCCTAACCCAACGGCACCATGGTAATGTGCTCACTGAGGAACCTGATGGTCCTGAGTTCGGTCTCATGTAGGGTTATGGGTCTGCAGTGTTGTGAAAGATATGTTTCGTACTTCAAGGTTTTGGAATAGTTCTCCAAATGACATCAATCCGTGATCAATGCAAAAAATACTTCCAATCTTTGTTCACTCAGATGTATTCAACAACCAAGCAAATATAACCGGGGTGTGAAATGAAGCAATTATGGACTCCTCAACGTTCCACTCGATCACTCCATATGCCTTAAAAACGTTTGGTCAAATCCAGTGCAATTTCAGTGGTTACATAACCAAGTAAATTCATCATAAAAGAGCCCCTAAGTCATCCAGTAATTTAAATGAAAGTGATTTTAACAATAAGTTCACACTTAGACATATGAAACTATCGATTGCGTTTTAGGAAAAATTAAAATTATATCACTCACTTTTATTAGCAGTACATATTTTATGAAGTGCATAACATGAGGATAATGATTACTTAGAAGCTACTCACTCTATTCTGCAAACTTCACCACCTTTAACAAAATTATCCTAACACCATCGGTCGACAGCTAACCTAGTTTGCAGTCGAACTCATAAGTGTTAAACTCGAACAGATTCAGGTTACAGAACTGAATTGTTGAGATTAACTGAATCTGGTTTGTTGAATTTACTGGAATGATATACTATAAACTGAATGATAAATTTACAGATTATTTACAAACTGCATGGTTCACGTTCACATTTCTCACGACTGAATAGATTGTTATCTTCCCAGATTAGGTGTTCTAAAAATATTCAGCTGTCAGAAATGTGAACTTTGATCATTTAGTTCGTATATAATTTACGTATTAATTGTACTATGTGCTTTATATGCATAATCATAAGACCAATTGTAAAGTTTAGTTGATCATATACCGTATAAAATAAATCATGTATAATTATAATAGCTGGATCCCATCTTCAGTGAATATTACTTAAAAGTTCACTGAGAAGCAATGACTGTTAAAATCTCTTATTAGTGTCCATCAATAAAACTTTAAAAACGTTATCCGAGATAGGCAGATGGATGCGTAAAGATGACGGATAACCATTAAAGACATATTAACAAGTGAATGAAATTCTTCAACTTTCATACATAGGATTATAAATTAACGACTTAAAACTACACTCTGTTTTGCAAGGCTTCCATATCCTAAATTGAATCCTATAAGGTGTTGGCACGCTACATAAGAAAATGGTTTCGAGCTAAAATATAATAGCTGCTTTTAGCTTTTAGTACTTCTTAGATACGCTTAAAGTTTCATGGCAAAATCTCACTGACATTATAAGTATCTGATACTCACTTGTTACATACTGCAAAGTTTCTTCAAACTGATTCATACTTACGTGACTATGGGATCATATCTTCATTCAGGTCTGCCAAAAATCCTTGCATTTTCATGCGATCCCAGTCAGAATAAATCTCCAAATTAGTTGGTGACTGAGAACATATAACACCTATCCCTACCTCCTCGTTCAGTGGGAATTCATAATGCCATCAGCTAACAAGCTATTCTACCCAGTATATGCATAAGTATGCATAAGCTAAATTAGCCTTCTATACATCTTCATGATACACTAGATACCAATCCGTTTGCGATGGCATAACTCCCCACATAGCTGAAATGGCCAAGACACCTAGTCCGTTTCCAACTTATTACCAAATATAGAATCGGTATTAACCAACCACAAAATAGCATTCTCACACTGTTGCACCTCTGTGTTCAAAAATAAATCCGGTATAAAGCAGAATGGAAGTGTAAGAATTCCTAATGAATAGCTCTAGATGTAATCACACCAGATAATATCCCATCGTCAATCCCATCACAACAATAATCCATTTAAGCAAATTGTTCTCAGTAATGTCCTAAAACAAGATCCCTAATAGGTATATTTTTCAGTAACAAACTTCAAATCAACCGAACTGAACTCCACCTTCACTAACATACAGCGAAAAATAACTTCAGACTAAGCAATAAATAGATTTTAATATTTTTTTCTCCGGAATCTAGTTAGTAAAAAGTAATTATTATTAAAATTAGATTCATACGTTAACCTAAACACAAAGTCTTCATTCACCTACTATCAGTGTTTCTTTTTTCTTACCAGCAATAACAGATGAATGGATAAACGAAACACAGAATTTATTGGACAACATAAAATCAACAAGACGATTAGGCCACCATTCATGTACACCATGTTTGAACATCAGACGCTGTTCAGACATAGAAAATTCAAATTTACTTCCGGTAATTGATAATCCAGGTATTTGGTTAAATTTTCAGTTAACTTTTGCGTGACATCAATTTTTTTTTTACTAGTCTAAGTTTGACAAAACCCTTAATTCGTATAACAGTATACAGGATTTACAGACTTCAGTCATGTTGAAATTCTTTTACAAATCAGCGATTTATGGACACGGTCTTTACATTTGGCAAAACCAGATTTTTATGAAATTAAAAATTCACCACAGTTGCTATTTAACAGATTTAGGCATAGAAATATACCCTTGTCGAAAGCCGGACATACAGATGAGTGTAGAATCTTGCACAGTAGTTCTAGTTGCCCCATATAACAATACCACAGTAACAGGATAATGTTTAAGTATGAGAAAAGGATTGAAAATTTAAAAATGCACTTAAGGTTAATAAAATGTTTCAGACTTCGAGTATGATCAACAGTAAACACAACTACATCATAGTGATTGGTTCTCAGCTATGTAACTGAGTCTTTTGCCTCTGATTCGTAACATGTTTAAGAGCTTAACTAGGCCACCTAAACAGCTTTGATCAGTAGTCAAAGCTTTCATGGATTAATGGTATGTTTTGGTTTAAATAATCTTACGTTTTTCGCAATCTTATTCTACTCCAGCTTACATTGAGCACCTGGGTAGATTTATCATCATGTATTACCTATCTCCTAGGCATATCGGTCAGTGTAACTTCATGACCTCACTGAAAGGTCAGAAATTCTTTTCCCAGAACCATATGCTTGACCAGACAACTACATGCTTACATATGAGCAATACTACGAGGCTGTCGATAAGTTGTTTCTAAATAGCTTATCCCAGTCTTGAATCAGTGTTTAGACTGAAGGTAAGAACGTAACAAGAACACAACTCTTCATTCCTTTATCCATACTGAATCTTCGTGGATACATAGCTGAAGTATGCGACTCTAAATAGCCGAAACACGATTCTGAATTTCTACTACCCTGAAATTATATTTTCGAAACCTACTCTTCTAGTTAAACATTCCAATCAGATGGAATAATCACCATGACCTATATAAATAACTATCTCGTTCAAAACAGACGTTTTATTTTTAAAATTTTATATCGATAAGTTTAAAATAAACGCTTTGTGTAAAGCAATTTTATCTAGCCTTCTGTTAACTATTTGTGATCAAGTTAAATTACGAAACACCATTTCAACTTTATATCAGTAAGTTAAACACAGGTTTTCGCACATTTCATCTGCGTTTCCTTGACTGAGGTTTCTGCAGTCAAACATTCCTCATACGACAGATGCTACTCAACGCTTAGTATATAGGTATGTAAGTAGTACTTGGATGATAGCATTTATCCCTAGATTTTCCACCTCTGGTAAAATAGATATCTTACCTTAATCTTCGCTTACATAAAAAGAAATACATTTTATGATTATGTTTATAGGTGTAGTAAGATGAGTTTAGTGCTTGCTTTTCGCAGCCCTACACATTCCGAAGAAATAAGTAAACAACAATTGCACTCTTTATATGATGATAATGAATGAATAAACAGACTTGAGCATTCAACATTTTAAAGAATGGATCGAAGGTTCAAATCATGCGCTATTTAATTCGGCCTGTACAAATGAGCCGTACCATAAGCCTTCAAACAACAAGTGTCGTTCATAGCCTAGAAAATAGACATGTACTAAGTTGTGTTACATAAATTTAACCCTAAAATAATTAGCAATAATTGTTGTTCATTAGAGATTAAATGACCAAAAACTATTTCACTACTTCATCTTGAAAAAGGATACTACTAAAAATAATCGCTTGCTAGTATGTAGCTAAATATATTTGAGTATATTTACTTGATGTTAGTTCTACACACCTTTAACTATTTTGTCAAGTTCCATACTTTAATACGGTACTCCGAAAATCTAACCGTAAATGAATGTATAATTTAGATTGTTTTTTGAGTACATTTTACTACTCAACTCTTAATTTCTCATTTTTTAATTGAGGTGGTGACAAATGACGTAGGAAAATGATTACTTGTTGCATAGCATCAACAACTGAAGAAACAGATACATTTTTATCTCCAAAAATATTGAATGGATAAATCAGTTCATAACAGTATTTATTGTCACACTGAATGACACCTAGAGAGAGATCAATGTCACGTTGTTTAGTTCTGAAGGTTGACCAAAGTAATGAAACTTTAAAGTGACCTGATATTGCAGTTCAACAGAACAACTTTTCTATGACGATGTCTTGTATCACATTAAAATATTGATTGACTAATACATTAGCTTAGAAATAGAATTCAAGCTAAGCATGAATGGACTAATAGTAAATAAGCACCAGAGGTGACAATTTCAGAACTACCCAACTTGTATTTATGCGACATTGTAAACATCTTCCGACCATTCTCAGCTCCATCAGTACTCTCAAATCTCAAGAACATGAACTTTTCACCAATTTAAGTGGTTTCCCACCAAGAATAACTGTAAGCACAGGTAAATTTTGCTCTAGTACTTGAAGTGATACACAACATGGTTATAGTTCATTATTTTCTTTGACTTTGATGAAGTATAAAAACAATACTAAACAACGAATTAATTGTGTGGAACATCTCACAAACACGTAATAATCATTTCTTAGCGGGTAGTAAAGGAATTTCCAATTTATTACGGTTTTAGATGAACATTTTTATATTTGACTGTAACGCTGGACAAGGCTAGTCAAGATATCTGACAGACCAGGGATTTCTTGTAAACAGTCTTCGCTAATGAACATATTGTAATCGATTTATGCACACAGCTTCCTAAATATTGCCTATAAAATACTGGAATAATATCAAAATGTCATCTAAAGTAAAGTTGTGACAACCTACAGATGATAATGAGTCACCTATTATACATAAATGTACCGTCCAGAGAAAGTTCATATTCTTGGTTGTATTGTGTTTTCTGAGCTGGATTGTTTAATCGTAAAGATTTCATCGTCTTTCTGGACGACATCATCAGCACTAACTTCAGTATGAAGTGAGCTGTCAATATCTTTCCAGCTCAGAGAACACAATACAAGCAAGACCATTCACCTGAGCTACAAATATTCTCCATTATTTCGAAAGTTCATATTCTTATGAAAAGCAGAGAGAAGAGGGTCACTGAATTCACTTGTATAAAATTTCTAAATACTTGTAAAGCAGAATTTCTGAACAGCTTAGGATATTTGGACAATTTCTCCCAAGATTTATTTAAGCGATCAATGGTTTTATTCATTAATTGAAATTAAATCCCCATACCTATATTAGATTTAGTAACTACACTCTACCTAAATCAGATAACAAATCCTCTGAATTTATTTCACCACATTACTGTGATAATTTTTCGTAGATATGATGCGATGCTTAACTTGCTACAGAACATTCAAACAAGATGTGGCTACTAAACATGTGGAAGTATGTAGGCGCAAATCACAAATTAATGAAGATGGAACAAATTCTTTGGGTTCTACTGTGGCTACTGGTTATTCACCTGTATTATTTCGGGCTAGACAGGTGAGCGAATATTTATCTTCCTTTAATTAAGGAAATATCTTGCTTATTTAGTGTAAAATAGTAAATTATGTTCTCAATAAACGAAACTTCTGAGGACCTCATTCAAATTAGTCGAAATTGCAGAGATTCAGACGTCTTAGAAATAACTCCTAGGTCTGCTTTAAAACAAAATGGAACGTGTCGAACAAAGTAAAAGTTTTATTTTAGTCCAGTGGTTTGTGACAAGATGATTTATTCAAAGATGATTTAGATCACAACAAACTTGAAGATCCTGAGGTCAACCTCATGTGGAGCCATGAGTGTACACTCCTGACGACTCCAAAAATGAGTTTCCTTCGATCATAATTGTTTTTCTCAACGATATCAATACATATTGAATATCATCTTTATGAGTATTGCCATTTTAAAAAAACGACATTTCCAACAATAAAGCCAGTTACCATTGATCTCTGGGCAATAATAAATTTCATAGAGCAATGATTATATGATGGACTTCAGAGTCTAGTGTTTAAAACTACACGTTATTGCTGTTTATCACTATCATGCTTGTATTTATAATTACCAAATTATATAAGACAGGTCTTAAATCTACCAGATATAACGTGGTCATATCGTTTGGTCACTATATCTGTGAGCAATACAACAAATTAAGAACTAGAAATGTCGCATACATTATGGTGTCGAAGGGTGACTCTACCAAACCAATCACCTACTTGATACCACAACTCACTGGTCTAATGGATAATCCCTTGTCATCAACCTCACAAAAAACTTCAGAAATACCTTTCGCAATTTTGGACAAAGCGAGGACAAATACACTTCCACAATAAACTATGACTTTAAGCAGAGAACAATTCCCAACTGCAAACAAACCAAATTTGTATTTACAAACGAAAAGTGTGTTGAAACAGAAATAAAGGCTCAAAATCCGACAACAATAGCTGGGGAAGGAATCGAAAGGATGAGTAAAAAAAAGAAACTATAAATTGTAATCAAGATCAGTGATAAGTACATGATCAGAGAGACAGTTCTAGATCCATAAAGAAACAGAGGTTTGAAAGAATGAAACTTTCGAAGAAGTGATAAGCAATTGAGGAACTACGTGAGAACACAAATAATCGAACATCAAAATAACTATGATCGGAAACCAGTAAATAAAGACTACGTAACCAAACTTACATAGAGTCACTAAGGTAGACGAAGACTAATCATCGTTTTTGTTCTGTACAAAAATCAAGTTTGAAATATTTGGTTGTTAGGGCTTAAGTAAAGCGTAGCAGACCTGGAAATTTATGTTTATTTATCATCCTGAGGACTTGAGAGATGCCTCTTCAGGGTCCAGTTTACACTAGGTATTCGGCTACTGAATTTCAAAAACTTTGCTGCCTTTCAAATACAGTTTTCTATGAAAATATATACCTTTGCAGAAATGCCTAGCTAAAGAGCGGTAACAAGTATGGACCTTAGAGCCCGGGTTTTTCGCAGACTGAATCTGAACATCTAACATCAAACTAAGCTGCACCACATGGTGAACTTGATTGATAGACTTCAGTCAGTGCCGAGTAATAAAGACTTGACAGCCATATTACTTATAACCTGGGGGCCTATACATGCCACAGTATGGTTAGTTACTCAACCTGCCTCATTTGCAGCTGGTTAAATATATCCATCAAATCAGTATGCTTAGGTGTTTTAGATTTCAGATCATTAACAATGCTTACGTATTTATCACTATCAAGTATATAACGTTTTGTCGAAGCGCAATTTCGAATATTGTGTTACAGTTAGACATGAAGGTAAATCAAGAAATCCAACACAATTTACAACACAAAGGAGGAAATGGGATCTATTTTTTTGATGGTTCACAAATTCCGAATATCTACGTGTAATTCAATGTATGAGGTGTATTTCATCTGTGTAGTCCCGGTACAGTATATCAGAACAAACAACAAAATAAACATATATTCTGCACTACCCCTCGGCGTTTCGAACTTCCTAGGATTCTTTTCAATAGTATGAATCTAATACTAAGCTTTCAGGTTAACAGTCAAAATAAGTGAAAAAAAGTCTTTTCGATCACCAAATTAAATTGTTCTATAGAACACAGAAACCCCGCCTGGTTAACTAGTTCACTAGTTACTAGCCGGTCCTAAGCCCGGGTAAAGAGGGAAGGTTGAGCATACGGCCAGCAACCCTACACCGGCAAACCAATCCAATTACTACAGAAACTTCAAAGTAGACAAAATACAAAAAATAAAGACAAAATTATTCCTCGCTGGAATCCGAGAGGCGAAATGACGCCAGTTAGTGAAAGCCTTCGAGAAGCCAATCGGCCGGGCCGATGTGTCTTCTCTCGATGAAAGCGAAAGTAAACGCAGGGACATGGAATGTCCGCACCATGTATGAACCTAGCAAAGCTGCCCAGATCGCAAACGAGATGAGAAGGTATTGCACTGAAGTGTTAGGAATTTGCGAAAGCAGATGAACGAAGGTGGACTCTCCAAACTGTCAACTGGAGAATCAATAATCTACTCCGATATTTTCACCCAGACGACAATCACGAACACACTGATGGAGTGGCTGTCATGATGTCCCCAACAGCATCAAAATCTCTCTGTCATGCAGTGAGAACCAATCTCCTCCTGCAGCATCATGACAGCAAGATTCAACTCAAAAGGAAGGAAGATCACAATCATACAATGCTATGCACCTACAAATAATGCAGAGCAAGAGAAAAAGGAGGAATTCTACAGACAACTTCAATCAACACTGGACAAGACCTCACCGCAGTTGGCGATATCAAAATTCTAAAGAGCGACATGAATGCCAAACTGGGAGCGGAAAACACAGGAAGAGAACTAACCATGGGTCGAGAAGCGCTCGGTGAGGTGATGAACGAGAATGGAGAATTGTTTGCAGAATTCTGTGCATTCAACGATTTGGTGATTGGAGTGGGGCAGTGTGTTCAAGCACAAGGATATCCACAAAGTGACATGGATTTCACCACATGGACACACTAAGAACCAGATCGACTTCATCTTAATGTGAAGAGAGTGGAGACGCAGTCTACTTGACACAAGGTCAAGAAGAGGAACAGATGTAGGCTTAGACCACTATCTAGTGCAAGGAACCTTCCAAATCAAGTTGAAAGCCTTCAAGGAAGCTGGTGATAGACCTCAATTCAAGTACAACACTCGGAAACTAAAGACGAAACTACAAAGGAAATCTTCACGTCAACCATCAAGACAAAATGGGAGATATTGAGCAACATCCCTGAAGAAACCTGTGTGGCAGGACACTAAAATTCTTTGAAAGCTATGCGGAAAGAAACTTGCATAACCGTATTAGGAAGGAAGAAGAAAGAAGATAAGGAATGGATCTCGATAGACACATGGAAGCTGATAGAGCAGGGAGAGGAGGATGGTGAAGCAGAAGGTTAACCAGTGCGGTGCAAGGATGCACAACGAGAAGAGGAACTCAGTACAACGTATAAAACACTACACTGGACAAAGAAGTGAAGAAGAGTACACGCATAGACAAAAGACACTTCCACGACACACTGGCAAGTGAGGCAGAACAGGATGCAGGTAGGAGAGACAGAGACCTGACAAAATTTTACCAAATAACCAGGTTACTATCTGGGAAGTGATCAGCGCAGATGAGACCAATAAAACATGATGACGGAAATTTAATCACCAAAGAAGAGAAACAAACGAAACGATGGGCTGACCACTTCAAAAAGCTCCTCAATCGACCAACACCACCACCTGCACTTCGTCCAGAAATACCACCTGCAGCCCAGCCACAAAACTACAAGTTAACACAAATCCTCCAACAAAAGTCGAAGTCCTGAACGTCATAAGGCTACTGAAATGCAGGAAAGCAGCAGGACCACATGGAATCCCACCAGAAGCACTGACAGCAGACGCAGGGACAACAGCGGACATACTCACACCAGTAATGCACAAGGTTTGGAAAGAAGGAAGAAAAGGTACCTGCCGACTGATTGGAAGAAGGGCTACCTTGTCAAGATCCCAAAGAATGGAGACCTAGGTGTTTGCAAGAACTGGTGCCGAATCACTCTCCTGTCCACCCAGAGCAAGCAAAATATTAAGCCGCATCATCCTGCAGAGACTAACCAATGCGCTGGATTCAAGACTATGACCGGAACAGGCAGGCTGGATTCAGGAAGTACAAATCATGTGTGGACCAAACTGCAAAGCTACTCATCATCATAGAACAGAGTATAGAATGGCAGTCAACCCTCTACCTTAGCTTCATCGACTTCGAAAAGGCTTTTGACAGTGTCGACCGAGAAGTAATTTGGCAGTTGCTTCAACACTACGGAGTACCACAAACCTTTATCAACCTCGTTCAACAACTTCTGGGCTGTCGTGGAGCCAGGTTCAGAAGATTTCAGAGGACAGAGTGCACTGGAGACGTACTACTGAAGCCTTATGTCCCATTAGGAACCCAAGGGACAAATAATAATAACAGAACACAGGATCCATTGTATAACGTGTATTTTACTCGGGTAATCCCAGCGTAGTTTATTAGAACAAATATTAAAATTAACAGATTTTCGAGCAAACAGTATAATTCAGATGAGTGACATTAACAAGTGGGTAAATGAGGCTTATTGAAGTTGTGCAAGTGAGGTAGTACAATAGTAGGGCGAGGTATTTTGTTCGACTATGAAATACACACAAGAATAGTGAATCTTCAGGGTGGAGTAAAAATAAAATACTACTTAGGAAGGCTGATTATTTTACATAGTTCTTCCCTTTACAGATTTCAAAAAAGCAAGAAGAACAATTAGCATGCAAGTATTTCCCTCAGCTACTTTACAATCTATAAAATATAATGTCTCTGATACAGAAACAAGATTTACAATGTACTTTCATTCATTAACAAGGATGTTTTGATTGAAATAGAAAACAAAGATGTAGACTGACTGAAATTACTGGTTGTCAAAACTACTCAACTTTTAACTATTGATCGAATGATAATAACGAATATTTTAGGGAAGATAGTGAAATTGGGAGAAGGTTGAACACAATTTCATTCCAGGAAATGACATGATGGTTAAGTAAGCGTAATACAAGGTTAACAGATTTTCATTCCATTGAGTAAAAAGACAAATATAAAAAGGCGTGAGTAGGTTTTTAAATAGATTGAAAGATAAAATGAAAAACAGAGGATTACCAAGTTAAAGAATTTTAGTCACAAGTTTAGGAGATTAGAATTAGCAAGGTAAAACAAGATTGACAACATCTTTCTAAATACACAGATTAGATTTGTCTTTTAATTGCAACCGCCTCAACTAAGAGGAAAAAATGATATGGTTTCAATCGTTTGTTGATTACATTAGACGATTTCGATACGTCCAGCAACAAGTAAATGCTAAACGGCTGCACCATTAGGACCATTAAGACCCGAACTCCTATGGATAAACTCAAAAATGCAAACAAGAACTCTTCTCTCCGTTCTTCCCATATATGTGCTTTGGTGTGAACATATGAACTGGTAGATACAGTTGGATATAACAAGAACTGGAAAGTTGTCCACGTTTGAACAGTTAGTCGGGTACAAAGAAACTATCTTGGTGGCTAGATAGGTCCTCTTCAGTGCAGCACCACCTACGGTTCGTCCTTGTGATTTCATTCCCTTTGAAGATAAAATGTAGAAAGACGGGCTTCCCAGCTGCACTCCACTTAATCCTCTTCGTTTCTATCCTTCGGTACCTATGAATGGTCTTTTGTGGCTAACCATTTTCGACCAGGGAGTTTGACATTTTTCTCTTCAGAGCACAGTTTACTCGCATGCTTGAAAAGTGCTCTTAGTAGATACTTTTTGCATTGATTGGGTAAAAGCTGGTGTATTCTAAATAAAGCCTACTACATTTGTCTTTCTAATGAATGTATCTATGAATCTTTACGACGTTGTATGCTGAGGTCTAGGAATTGGAATTTGCTATGCTCACTTTATACTGCGCTCCATTAAAAAGACTCAGCAAATGAAAGGCACATTCACTACTATTGCATCAAACAAATGTAACGTCAAAGTACCTAGCGTAGAATGCTGTTTAGTCGATTGCATATTTCACTTATGAATCTCCTTTTTGTGAGGAACGAAACCCTTTTCAAATATTTTATGACCTGAATATATAGCATCAGAGACGACAGGAAAACCTTTTGAAGTTTTTCCAGTTTATAGGAAATTTTTGGTTGCTGTTTGGAAATTCGATTATCTTCCGTTAGACCTGATGTCACTCCATTACATGTAGCATCACGTTCACTACAGTTTATGTTATAGACATAGTTCTGTTGTTCTAGATGATGAATCGAACCTTTTAGTCTATACATAACATGACACGATGATGAACCGGGAAGCATTTTCTCCAGTTCTGTGACACTGGTGGAGATTTAGTTCAGTCAATCTAATGTGACTAGCAATACCGAAGTAAACCGTATTTAATTTCTTCTGTTCACAAAGTGGAGTAAAGAATGAACAACAAATGTAGCAGAACAATAAAATTCATTTGTTGATGAAATTCTCTATAGCTGCCCACGAACTAAAACTAGGCTTCTTCCTACAGTTTACAATCTATAGGATAATTGAATGAATATCCTAAAAAGATCTGAAAGATGAATGACGACAACAGCCTCTAGGAAATCGAAAACTAATATCAGATAGAAGATTATCTTATTAAAAGTTAACACTAACAAGTCGAAGTGTAAGAACAGCAGGAGCTGGGAAATAACCGAATGACTACAAAAGACGGAGATGGAAACAGTGTAACCGGATATTGATAAATTAAAGCCATTAGGTAATTGCTCGTACAAGAAACAAAATTTCTGAACTTATCTCCTTGTTCATTATCTCACGTGAATCTTCAAATGAAAGACAACTGAAGTACAGACTACTCATTGATACTCAGATCTAAGTCCCTTTGAAATGTGCCCGGAAATCCAGTTACCACAAGATAAGAATTTATATACTTTTGATCATTTCAGAGAGTAGTAGAACCAGTGCGCGGTATATCACCAGCATCTTCATTTTTAAACCCTAACTCTACATTTGTTCCAGATCATGTATGAAGATTTCAAAAAAGATAGGAAACAACAGCTTGTTTGTATCACTTACTTCAGTTCCACGATACGAGGTGTTCATTATATTATATCGTTCACCTTGGGTACAAATTGTGCTATTGTGTAAAATTAACTCATCAAGATTTGGAGTTTTAAAATTGTACGAACTGGTTCATATGTAACACCAACTTCGGCGACCTTCTAACCAAAAAAATTAATCATCCTTTTGTTGGATCAATCTTAATTACTAATTCTGTTCTTGTGTCATTTTTATTTGTAGTATGTTGAAGATTTGCAGAGAAGAAGGGCATCAAATACTTCTACATCTGCGATAAATAGCCAACCTAAGAGTGGAGATCAGAAAAGGAAATCAGAAACAGAACCCCGTATGTACTTCTAATTCTAGTAATCATTTTACTTTCATAATCACAATTATCAGTAATACTGTTCATCGGGTACGCACAATTTTCTGTTCAAGATATCTCTAAAGGCCATGCATTAACTGGCTGACTAACAAAACGGCAGTCCGACATAACATGTTAATCTGAATATATGTTCCACTTTGGTGGAATGGTTGAGTGTCCACTTTAATTAAGTACATTCAAACTCAACACTATGTGGAACGATTCTGACATCCATTCTCTATATTTGAGAAAGTGAAGTTTTCAATATCAATCCCACGGTTGTTGAAGATGGTATAGATAGTTCTGCCACTTCTATAGGCACTATGAGTACGATGATTCATTTCATCGACCATATCAACAAGGGACAACTTGTACAGTCCAATTAAAGAAAAACAGGCAGTTTTCACACCTGCACGAAGGTTTATCGATCAAATCTTCACTCTTCGATAGGTTTTAGGGTTCCATTGTCTAGAATTGAATCCGAACCTGAATTAGATGCAGATTTTGGTCCTCTAACTCGCCTCGAAGTTGCCTCAAACCTGAAACAATGCAAAGCAGCACGACCTGACGGTTTGCCACTAGACGTTTTTAAGGATGGTGGAAAATTACTGAGTAACAGAAGTGCCAAGCTGCGTACAAGAATCAGAGGTAGTCCCGTCACACTACTCCATATCTTCATTTAATCCCTTCTTTAAAAACAGGAAAGTCTTATGACAACCACAGAAGGATTAGTTTAACTAATATCTTGTCCAAGACCCTTGGGTTCATAGTTATTCGACGCATAACTAGGACTCGAGAACAGCAAACTAGAGAACGGTAGACAAATCTAAAACCTGGATAGTAGATCATAAATCAGATACTCACTGTACAACAGGTTTCGGAACACAGACATACTTACTGGCTGCCGATATTTGCACACATTTCTTGACCTGAAAAAGGCATTCTACCCTGCCTATCCAGACATGTGGCGATGTCTTACTGTGAAGTTGCGAGCAAGTATCCAGTGCTACTCATAGCTTTTTACTCGAACTAACACAGCCACGTAGACTTATGAAGAGTTATCTGAGTCGACGACAACTAGTAGTGTCCAGTAGGGGGATGCTTGCCATCACCGTTCCTGTTTAACCTCGTTCCAGATGCATGAATGGACATAACCTTAGGTGTCTCCGACCTTAAAGGGATTAACCTACTTCCTGTATAGTACCTGGTTGACTTGGAGAGTATGCGGGCAAAACGGTCCTGTTAGGTACAAAATGCATCGTCTTCTGAACGCCTTGAGCGGAAATCTGAATGTTTGTCATCCATTTCGCACTTGTCAAACGTAAGACGATGCTTCAGGACTGGTCTAAAACTTACAAGATAGAGATAGAAGGTGAAGTCGTAGAATGCGTTGGCCACTTCCCTTACTTTGGCAGATGCATCAGCCTAAAGAGGTTGATTGCTAAAAAACTTTCGGCTTGGATACAGAAGCTCCTCCCGGCATTTGCGAACTTACGTTACACCTGGCGTTGGTGAGATACCCGACTACTTGTTGAAAGACGAGCATAATGTGAAGTATTTCGCTATCCTTTTATACGTAGTGGTTGAAAAAGGCCGATATGATGAGGTTACTGGTCTTTCATCACAAGTGTCTTACCAGAACTGCCCACATAGAGTGGAATCACTGTGTAAGCAATTACAAAGTTAGGCTGAACACTAAGCAAGGAAGGAAAGTTGCTCGATGCGGTCGTGAGCCCTGAGGTCACCTAAACATGAGGTTAAGTATGCTGAATCACTCCCAACCTAGGTGTTGTACGTTAGGTGAAATAAGACTGGTCTGGAAGAAGACGTAAGTAGGTTCGGAAAAGAAAAAGGTGAGAAATGATCAAAATAAAACATGACATCAGTGCATGAAATCTTTTATTGTTGGTCTATCCCGTGCATGCAAGTGTGAACTTCCCGGTTAGGGGTCGGCGAAACAATAGAAACCGGGAGTCGAAGACTCTAGTTTGCACGGCTGACAATCGATCTCAGCGGTGCAGATGTATCCACACATTATTTACATCTTAATCGTCACAGGGGATTACAATGTAGCCTAGTTCCTTCTTGCTCCTCTTTTAACGGCTTTCTATCGTTTTTACTTTCTTTCTTATTTCTTTATCTTCCATCTTGATGCATTCTTACTTGATGTAATGAGGATTTGGCAACTTAGACCGATGCACTTCTGTGCAACGTTCTACGTTGATTTTATCCAAGAAAATGATTTCCATGAAATCGCTAAACGTCTGATATTGATATCATTATTATAATTCAGTACTTTTACTGCCACAACTACAATAGCTATTGAATACTGATTAAGAAGAGAACTATTATCATTAAAAGCCTATTTTCTTTACGCTATATATATTATTTATCACGATAAAAAGTTCTCTTTTTTCTTTGCATTGTTTTTCTCTGCAGATAAATTAAAGAAACCTTGAAGAAATAAACTTGATGCTATAAAAATCATCAGACTGACCTGTACTTTATTCCTGCATACAAAAATACTGAACAAAATAACAAACAAACATAATACATTTGCAATTGTTAAAAACAGTATTTTCCGATACATTTAACGCAGGTAAATACATTTAGAAAACTGGCATATATAGAAATCGCATGTATTCAAATAACTTCTGTAGACTAAAGAACGATGTGGAATATGTCCATTACTCAACATTCCTCTTTGACTCTATGTAAAAATAGGTTCACGAAGTGCAAATACAGCGATGTACGACTAACATTAAAATATGTTTTATTTGTAGGAATAAAATAGGTTTACCTTAATTTGAAACAAAATACTTCTGGATAGTCTTGAACTACATAGAAACACTTTCTACATTAAAAACTATTTCATGCACTTTTACCAATTAATGAATGTGAGAATACCTTGGCTGGATACCTTCGTACCTAATTAAAAAATAAACTTGTGCAATAACTGTGAACGATCATATTGCACCGACAAGTGAATGGAGTTGGATTATATGAGAAATCAGTTTACGACTAAACGACTGATTATGAAAGCCTCTGTCCATAAAAGTGAAAGCTGTGTATTCCATTCTACAGAATTCAAGAGTCTAAAGTGCAGAGGATATCTGAATTAAGATGAAATACCTGGGACAGTTCTTCTTCCTTTTAAACGGCTATCCAAATGGAGTCTGTAGATAAAAGCACTCTTCTCAACAATGTATCAGTTTATTAGATTTATTGTGTTTAAAAAGAGTCACAGGCAGTTCAAAGGCTTTGATCAACTGACTCTGACGCTCTAACCTTGCTCCCGGACCAGGTCAGAGATGTACGCTGATTAGAAAACAAACCCATGTACATACTGGTGAATCTTGTGATTTAAAAAACACTAAAAATGTATCTATTCATGTACAACTTACAAAAGATACAAATTTTATGCATAAACACAAGAGGAATAGTCATAAAATCAGTAATGCATTTCAAGACAACGTTTGGCGAACACCGATGGTATAATACGACCAACTAACCAGTCAGGCATATCTTTTTGACAAAGACGAATGACATCATTATAACTGTATCTATCAGAAAAGTGTATCAGGTATATGTGGTCAATAGACTGGAAAAAGAAAAAAGAAAAAATGAAAGGTACATAATTAGTCCCAACCAATAGCCAAGTACATGTATTAAGAGGAAAAATGATACCGTGAGTCAAATCACAGAAATTAACGTCTGAAGTAGCATTTACTACTAACTGGCATGAGCGATTGGTAGTCCGTCCACACCAAACAATAGTGGTCATTGATCATTAAATTTTGATTAGATATTTGAATTCATCGAAACTACAGATCAACGTTTTTGAAAATTAAACTTTGGTATCTGTCTTGACCACAAATAGGGACGTCAAGGCCAGGATCGGAAAAGCAGAACAGACCTTCATTAATCTGAAATAATCAGTGTGGAGATCTACTGCACTGCACTGCACTGCACTGCACTCAGCATAAACAACAAGATACAGATTTTCAAAATGAATAACAGTCAAGTTAGTGCTTCTATGTGATGGTCCCAGCTGAGGGTGACATGGAGGAGATTATGTGAGGAAGAAATGAAAGCTTGTGGGCAGTTGTGGAGCCGGGTTGAAAAGATTGCAGAGAGAGAGTGAAATGGTGACGTGCTACTCAAGCCCTATGTTCCATTAGGAACCCAAGGGACAAATAATAATAATAATCTGTCTTGGCTGACGAGAAAACATTCTACAGCTGAGTATAAGACTCTATCCAATAATGAAATATTTCATGATAATAATCATAAGGTAATGCATTTTGCCACAAGCATTTGCAGTAGTCAGGTGGTACGGTCTAAAATAATGAACGCCATAGAAATACAATATCCAAGCATTCATGCCTTTACACAGCAAGATGATAACAAAGTTTGTTCTGAATCCATAACCAACCAAACGGGAAAGACGGCAGTAATTTGTCCATTGCTTTACTTTCCCAAGTGCAGGCGTTTTCATAAAAAATTTCAGTGTCAGTTAAATACGGGGAGAGAACACAGAAAACAACGAATACAATCACTACAAAAAAGCGTGGAGATAGGCAATGATGTGGGATGTTAACCACTGGTCGAAGTCGAATCTAAATGAAATTCACTCAGCAACTGTGTATATTCGTGCAATATACAATGAGTCATAACGAGTGTGTTAAGACTAGTGATACTGTCTGGGTGCCCTAATCTCGGTAGGCGGAGGATGGTTCAAACCCGTGACCCACTGGTTGAAAATCATCTCCCTACACCAATGAATCACAGTTCCATACTGGTTGAAGCAGTGACTGCCTGTTTTTTTGTCTCCAATGGAATGGTAGTTGAGGTAAAAGAAATGCTGAACAATTAGAACAAGTAAAGTAAACAAGAAAAAAACGTTTTTGGCAATCAACTTTCACTCTAAGTTGCTATACTACACAGTAGCATGTAAGTGTGGCAACTTGAACCGATGCGCTTCTGTGGGAGGTTCTACATTGAATTTGTCTCTCTACGTTTTCTGCACTACTGTCAGGAAATTCTCGTTAAGACAGGAATAAAAGTAAATTATACGGCTAACACTCTTCCTTCGGCACAGTAGTAAATTTCCTACAACCACGCTAAGAATTTCGATCCACAAATCTTCTAAAATAATATTTACTCAGGAAGCATTCGTAGTTTGATCACCACCAACCATTGTTCCACTAATTTAATGCACTGAGATCAGAAAAGACAATGTGCTAAAAGCTTCTTAACAGACCCACCAAGTATACCTGGTGCCCTAACCAAACTAACCACTTTGTAACAAAACAAAATTCAACTAAACCTAGTCTAAGATATAATCTAATTGGTCACATCATAAAAAATAATGCGTCTCGATGAGAAGCGTTTGATGCTTGTAGGATTTTAAGATGATGAATAATATTTGTAGCTTGGTGGGATAATTTTGATGTTGTGTTCTCTAAGATAACTGGTTCAGTCGTGAAGCTTTTATTACCATTCTAGACAATATCATCAGTACAAACTTCAAAAGACGAGAGCAACGAGTTAATCTCCACAGTTCCTTAGGTCTGCAAGACAGAATAGTGGCATAACTCTCGAACATATGAGAGGTAACTGATTAGCTAAATATCTATCTACCACCCTTTTTTGTTTTATTCACTTGATCATTTTGTTTCTGTGACATTTGCCCTGCTGCTGCAAAGTGTATCAATCAAAAGACATGAAGCCTGTAGAAAGACGTTTTATGGAATCTTATCTACCGGTACCACTTGGAGAGGAATATATAGCTAATAAGCAACTTGTCTTTCTTTTTTTCACAACCTGATAGACAGAAAAGCAAATAAGAATAGAATCTAACACAGAATTACATCAGTTTACTTCGCCATAGTTGACAGTAGTAAATAATAGTAGAGTTACTCCTGGCTGAAGAGCAGACATGGACGAAAGTTATTTGATTGATCAAATCCGCCAACAGAATACTGAAAGGAAGATAACCGATAAAATCATTGTCAACTATATAACACACCGTCTCACATGGTGTAAGCGACTGACTAATGGATCACGTTTGTAATTCACAAAACTAAAACACTGTTACTAGTCTGATCATATATCACTAAAGTGAAAAAATACTTAACACAAACGCCTTTACAGCTTTCAGATTTACTCCAACTAGCCGGTTTTAGACTAACTCAAGACGAAAACATCAATGAGAGACTAACTTACTTTCAGTAAAGAGGCATTTCGACGAATTTCATCTAAATGTGTATGACCATGCAATCTGGCGCTCTCAATCCTATGTTCGGGTTTATCCAGAAATGTGGATTCCATTATCAGTAAACGTGCTGACAAAAGATCTGGGCATATAGTATTGGCACACTGAAGTACAGTAAATCTAGAATCACCTATAAAATGGTGGGAAATAATATTTTAAAAATCCCAATAGACTCATGACCTACTTCGAACCGTCTTTTTTAATAAAATTTGATAGACTGCAAGTCGTAGGCAAAAACATCACGATAATTGCAAAAATTAAATATTAATGATGAATGAAACCAGATTATTGAAATCCTAACACGTCACAAAAAATATAACTTAGCACGGACATGAAATAAGTGAAGTTCAAATAAAAACCTAGGTGCTGGTAAGGCATTGACAGATAAAAAATGAACACTTGAAAAAGAACATTTGGAAGCAATAAAAACCGACAACTACTCAAAACACAGATGAACATAACACAGGACATTGTGCAAAGGTCCAACTGTTTAAAATGCCATTATATTTACAGTTTTCGAATAGGCTATAAATATTCAACTATCGCTTTCTTTGAATCACTACCCATATATAAATTCTGAAATTTATACTTACCTTAATCCGTCACGTACCCTTTTTCTGTTTCATATATGTATATTGCTACTTTCGATATTTTGACTACCCCTACTACATGCTGACATGAAAAGTGCGAAACATACTAGGTCAAGTATTCTTTATAGCCATCCGTGTAGCTTTGAAAAGTACAAAAATAAAAAATCAATGGCATTAGGGTTTTGAAATAAGCAGTAAGAGAGACATGAATGAGGTGAAGAAAAGAAATCAGATACTCAATAGTTTTAGAGATGAAGTGTGAACGCATTTGCACCAGTAAAGCCCTTTACACATGGTGTCTAACTACTGATTCTTAACGTCTTAAAGACTCTAATCAAGATCTAAGCAAGATCCAGACTAACAGCTAATAACAGGCCACTCAGACAGTACTCTACCAGTTAGCGATCGATGTCCGTATTATGCACCATGAAAGTGCAAAGTTGTTCTACAAGATTGGCAAGAAGCTGTAACTGTACTCTCTTTGCTGTGAACCATTAGGGGAAACCAAAACACTTGTGTATCTAGGTAGTTGTGAGCATCGGTAGAGCAGTGACTCACAACATTCCCAACAATAAATCGAAAGCCAAAATGACATAGGACAACCTGGGTTATTTTTGACATCATTGTTTCTTCCATTATTGAGAAGTGAACCGAATACTCTTTTAAATGTATCTTAGAGGATGCTTCTCTAATAACATTTTTATTTTTGTTTTCAGCCATTCTCCCTCTTTTAGCATCACCTTTATCATTTTAATAATGTAGTCCTACTTTTTTGTGAAGTCAGTCTATCGGTTCCCAGTTTGTACCAAAACTATACTTTCAGTAAAATAATAATAATAATTGTTTTTCCACCCAATCCGACTCAAGTTACCCTCATACGATAGTATAGGTGATAATGAAACATGAGTAACAAGTCAAAAACACACTCAGTTTGTCCAACTTCTTTACTAACTGAATGAATTACGTTCTTTTTCCAAAATTTCACATCAGATCATCATCATCATTATCAACATGGAACCAGGCATTACTGCGTAACGGTCCGAGTTGCCACACTTCATATCAGCACATCAAGTAAAAAGGTAGTGAGGTGAAAGATGAAGATAAGTGAATGCAGTCAAAAGAAATATAAAGTACGAGAAGAAAGGAAAGAGGAGTGACAAAATAGTGAGATTCGGTATATCGTTGTTAAGATGAGGATAATGTGTGTATACATCTGCGCCACTGACTTCGGTTCGGAGCCATATCACCTAGGGTCTCCAACCACTGGTTCCTCTTGTCCCGTGGACCCCAACCACCTAGTCTGCATCGTCCTACATGGCTTAAACCAACAGTCAGAGACTTCATACATTGGTGCCATCAGATGTTAGTATAGCTTACTTGGTATGGAGAAAAGCTACGACACCCATGATGGAATACCTCTAAACATGATACATTCTCTACTCTTACAACCGTACCGTACAACCACAATTACACAGCAAACTGTAAAATAACACATTCCTATAATTTACACTGGGTTAGGAAAGTATTGAACTAACCAAACAATCGACTGATATGAACCAGTTCAAGTCGTTGAACTTGCTTACTTCGATTTTCGGGATCATTAACAGAAAAATACCCGAACAAACGAAATATTTAGATGAACCAAAGATAAATAAGGTGGTGAGTGGAAGTAACGAGTGAAAAACAAACAATACCTGAACTTTACTCCACTAGCATTGGTTCTGATCGATGACTCCCAACTATGGTTGTCCATAACCACACATACATCGAACAGCAAGTCCCTATTCTTCAATATGATTTAGACAAAATAACGTATCTCTCTATAATACCAAGAATCTGCCAAGTTAGGTGGTGTCATGGTATTCAAAACTCACCCCAACTATCTCAATCCGCCTAAAATAACACCCTCAATCACGCTACTTAGCTTACTCTCCTAAACCGGGTGCATTATTTCGGTGTTGTTCACATATTGATCAAACACCACCTCAGCATATTGTTTTAAACACAATGGTGGTCGGATACTTACAGTTTTTATTTACCATCTACCCCTAATTCTTTCTTTAAGTTACTGAGAAGTACATCAATCGTGAACGATACGCTTTCACACAGCCTTAGAATAAATGTCTGTCAGCATACTCAATCTTCTACTGAAACACAGTAACATCCGTATTTACATCCTAATACCTAATAGTATGGATTGGTTAACGTTAACTCTCTGATAAAAAGAATGTTAGGAAAGCATTCAGGGATTTGATGGGACCAGTTAGTATCAATTATCAATGACCCTGATGTTTACAAACGATGGACCTAATAAACCAACCGTTTGAGCAAATGTTAACACACCTAGATAAGCGATTTCTGGAACTTCTTTGCAATCTGGTTCTCGGCTGTACAGTAAATAGCCCATGCTGGTAATTGCATGATCTGTTGGAAACGTAACAACTCGCCAATTATCTGATAACTGGGAAAAAATTACAAATATATGGTGCTCCTGACCTCATATTTTCCTCCAGGTTCAACAGGAATAAAATTGCCAACAAAATCTGATTCAGGTTTTTCAGCCATTGCTGCAAAGGCACCACAAATGGCATTTATATGTGGAACCAGATGTTTTGGCATGAAGTATGTGGCCTTGCCCAGTCGATTTAAAGCTCTCTTTTTCATGTGCTGGGTAATCGCCCCAATATGATCTGCATGACCATGACTACAAATTATAGCTGTTACTGCGAACGGATAAACTTACCTAATGAATATGTAATCAGCTAAAACAAGGGGTTTAGGTGAGAAGCCTATATCAAAACCAAATAATTGATTCTTCCTGCGTACAGCAACGCATGTCTCGTTTCCAGCAACTGACCAACCAAAAATCTCAAATGGTCCAACTTTCTGAAAATCCATATTTCAAAAAGTATTTTGATGTGAAGGCACAATACACCTGTGTACATAACAAAGAAGAGAGTAGAATATATAACTTTCAGATAAATGATATAACACCACCCTTTTCTCAAAGTACCTCTTCACACAAGCAGTCACTGAAAACTCATGAGATAATAACAACCTTAATGGAAGTCAAAATACAGCTGAAGGCTTGTTAAGAATTTCCACAACCACCTAACAGGTCAAAATATCGCACTTTAGCAACCATAAAATAAGGAGCACATGAAGACAGACCAATCTGGATAATAAATGATTTAGTTCTTTTAAAGCAAATTAAGGACTCAATGCTCTAACTCCTTTGTTTAAGTACTCCACTTTTTAATAAATAGAACTTCTGTTCAGATTTTGCTCCCTATATCTAGATCGAAACAACCAGGTTACATAGTTCATTGGCTTAAGTGCTTAACTTTCAAGTAATGAGTAACATATCCGGATCCCGCCATACCTAATTCGACCTGCGAAACCAGCCAATATCGTAAGCTGTTACACAACTATGGCTGATAACCTAGTACATAAACATTTGTACCCAATCGACTTCCACTTATCAGACAAATTAATAAACCCCAGTATAAAAGCTGTTACTGATCGCCCTAGTGCATGGGGTTTTACGTTATTACATCAAGGGGTTTAACAGTGCCATCAGGAAAAGCCGTAGTTGATGCACGATAAAAGGCCTTAAAATTAAACTTACATTGCTGAACTAATTAGACGTATTCATGAACTGAAGTTAGTCCACCAACAATATTTAACAACTATGTACTAAATACATATACTAAATATACCACTATTAACTGTCATAGGACAGAAAAACACCTCTTAAGCGTCATGTGTAGTATGATAATAAAAGTGGAACAATTACGACGAGAACCTCGCCTGGTTAACTAGTTTACTAGTTACTAGCCGGTCCTAAGCCCGGGTAAAGAGGGAAGGTTGGGCATAGGGCTAGCAACCCTACCCCGTAAAACAAATCTAACCGCTAAAGAAACTTCAAAGCACAAACAAAATATAAAAAATGAAAACAAACTTATTCCCCGCTGGAATCGGAGAGGCGAAATGACGCCAGTTGGTGAAAGCCTTCGGGAAGCCAATTGGCCGATGTGTCTTCTCTCGATGAAAGCGAAAGTAAACGTGGGGACATGGAATGTCCGCACGATGTTTGAACCCAGTAAGGCAGCCCAGATTGCAAAGGAGATGAGAAGGTATAACATCGAAGTGCTTGGGATTTGCGAAAGCAGATGGAATGGGAGTGGACTCTCCAAACTGTCAACGGGAGAATCAATAATCTACTCCGGTCACCCAGACGCCAACCACGAGCACACTGAGGGAGTGGCTATCATGATGTCCTCAAGAGCATCGAAGGCTCTCATGCAGTGGGAACCAATCTCCTCCAGGATCATGTCAGCAAGATTCAACTCAAAAGGAAGAAAGGTCACAATCATACAATGTTATGCACCTACAAATAATGCAGAGCAAGAGAAAAAGGAGGAATTCTACAGACAACTTCAGTCAACACTGGACAAGACGTCAGTTGGCGATATCAAAATTCTAATGGGCGACATGAATGCCAAACTGGGAGGGGACAACACGGGAAGAGAACTAACCATGGGTCGAGAGGCGCTAGGTGAAATGAATGAGAATGGAGAATTGTTTGCAGAATTCTGTGCATTCAACGATTTGGTGATTGGAGGCAGTGTGTTCAGGCACAAGGATATCCACAAAGCGACATGGATTTCACCAGATGGACACACTAAAAACCAAATCGACTTTATCTCAATCTCAAGAAAATGGAGACGCAGTCTACTTAACACAAGGTCAAGAAGAGGAGCAGATGTAGGTTCAGACCACTATCTAGTGCAAGGAACCTTCGAAATCAAGTTAAAAGCCTTCAAGGAAGCTGGTGATAGACCTCAATTCAAGTACAACACTCGGAAACTGAAGGATGAAACTACAAAGGAGATCTTCAAAGCAGCCATCAAGACAAAATGGGAGACGTCGAGGGACATCCCTGAAGAAACCTGTGTAGAAGAACACTGGAAGTCTTTGAAAGCTATGTGGAAAGAAACCTGCACAACAGTATTAGGAAGGAAGAAGAAAGAAGACAAGGAATGGATCTCGACGGATACCTGGAAGCTGATAGAGGAGAGGAGGATGGTGAAGCAGAAGATAAACCAGTGCAAGGATGCTCAACGACAAGAGGAACTGAGCACAATGTATAAAACACTGGATAAAGAAGTGAAGAAGAGTGCACGCAAAGACAAACGACACTTCTACGACACACTGGCAAGTGAAGCAGAACAGGCTGCAGGTAAGAGAGACCTGACGACATTGTATCAAATAACCAGGTTGCTATCAGGGAAGAGACCAACACAGATGAAACCAATAAAAGATGAAGAAGGAAATTTAATTACAAAAGAAGAGAAACAGAGGAAACGATGGGCCGACCACTTCAAGAAGCTCTTGAATCGACCACCACCTGCACTTCGTCCAGAAATACCACCTGCAGCCGCTGAATTACAAGTGAACATAAATCCCCCAACGAAAATGGAAGTCCTGAACGCCATAAAGCTACTGAAATGCGGGAAAGCAGCAGGACCAGATGGAATACCGCCAGAAGCACTGAGAACAGATGCAGAGACAACAGCGGACATGCTCACACCACTATTGCAGAAGGTGTGGAAGGAAGAGAAGGTACCTGACGATTGGAAGAAGGGTTACCTTGTCAAACTGCCGAAGAAGGGAGACCTCAGTGCTTGCAAGAACTGGCGAGGAATCACTCTCCTATCCACCCCAAGTAAAATATTAAGCCGCATCATCCTGGAGAGGCTTAAAGACGCACTGGATTCAAAACTGCGACCGGAACAGGCAGGCTTCAGGAAGTACAAATCATGTGCTGACCAAATTGCAACGCTTCGTATCATCATAGAACAGAGCGTAGAATGGCAATCAGCTCTATACCTCAACTTCATCGACTTTGAGAAGGCCTTTGACAGCGTCGACCGAGAAGTAATTTGGAAACTGCTTCAATACTACGGAGTACCGCAAACCTTTATCCGCCTCATTCAACAACTATATGAAGATGCCACATGCCAAGTAATCCACAATGGGAAGCTCAGTGATGCCTTTGAAGTGAAGACAGGAGTGAAACAAGGTTGCCTACTATCCCCCATGATATTCCTAATTGTGGTGGACTGGATCATGCAGCAAACAGTAGGCAGCGAGAAGAGGGGGATACACTGGACGACGGAAAAGAACCTAGAAGACTTGGATTTCGCCGATGACTTATGCCTAATGTCACATAAACTTGAAGATCTGCAGGCAAAAACTAACAAGTTGACAGAGGAGGCAGCTAAGACGGGACTTCAGGTGAATATAGAGAAGACAGAAGTGATGAAGATACCGCACCACCACCATCAACAACAACAACAAACTCCAATCACCGTCAACGGTAGAAACTTGAAGGAAGTAACCTCCTTCACTTATCTAGGAAGCACTGTTTCAACTACAGGCGGGACGGACGAGGACGTCAAAGTCAGAATCGGAAAAGCAAGACAGGCATTCATTAGCCTGAAACCAGTGTGGAGATCTTCTGCACTCAGCATGCGGAACAAGATACGGATTTTCAACACCAACGTCAAGTCAGTGCTCTTGTATGGCTCAGAGACTTGGCGCGTCACGAAAGGCATTTCCAATAAACTACAGACATTCATCAACAACTGCTTACGCTCGCTGCTGAAGATCAGATGGCCAGAAAAAATAAGCAACAAGGAACTCTGGGAACGAACCAACCAAGAACCTATCACGCAACAAATATGCAGGAAGAAGTGGAGATGGATTGGGCATGCACTGAGAAGGCCGACTGAGGACATCACGCGTCAGGCCCTCGAGTGGAATCCCCATGGGAAGCGACGAGTTGGACGTCCGAGGGTGACATGGAGGAGGTCGTGCGAGGAGGAAATGAGAGCTTCTGGGCTGTCGTGGAACCAGGTTCAAAAGATCTCAGAGAACAGAGGTCACTGGAGGCGTGCTACTGAAGCCCTATGTTCCACTAGGAACCCAAGGGACTAATAATAATAATAATAATAATAATAATTACGACGAGATTAACACAAAACCTAGATCTACATGCTGTTCAACAGACACTTTAATGAGTCGAAGAGATGTGTCGTTTTAAACAGATTATTTAAATTGAAGACATGTTGGCCAACCATGAAACATTTGTATACTAACACCCTGCTATTTCACGAATGGATCGCACTTAGCGAACTTGTGCACATTCATGCAGCAGGAAGTGAGCCACATCTAATGTGTGAGGGTTAAACTTATTATCTAGCTGCCAAAACCATAGGAGGTGGAGCAGTATTCCAATCTGTGACCTATTGGTTGAAAGCAAACTGCCCAAACCAATGTAACAGCTCCATGTTTTCTTTCACCCAGCTAGTTGAAAAATGAAACTAGTTTTCCTTCTTCAGTGCCTAACATGCAGTAATTCGACAGTGAGTGACAATACACAAGCAATAATGATAAAATATATGCAGTTTTCATGAACTCCAAACAGCTGGTATCCATTTTGATTCTGATAGTAAGATAAGGCGCACTACATTATCTACATACTCAGACCTTAAGAAGTATTTATATGCCAAGCCAATAATGAAAATGATACAACCCAACCACGTACACTTGTTTAAATACTATGAGCCACAACTGTTATGTGATGCCTCATGATACTACCCAGCTAACAAGGTAGATATAAGTACAGATGGGCTAGAACACAGAGTTCATTGGTTGAAAATTGATTGCTTGAGTCAATAAATCATATCTACACAATACCTCAACAAGTGACAGTTTGGCAGGATCTAATAAACCCACAATTATCTAAAGATTTTATTGACCACCAACCTATCCTCATTGATGCGACTTCCCTAAGGAACCGGATTTGGTAGTACATTTAACTAGTTCGCTTTTTGTCTTTATACTGGGTGATGATTGAAGGTGAAATGAAAATTTGGACCGCGGCCGGACTCGAACCAGAGACTACCGGGTTTCCGGCCCGATGCTCTACCAGCTGAGCTACGAGGTTTTTAAACGAGTCATCGACCCCATCCAGTCCTAAATAAATATATCCCAAGCATTTTCACACTGTTAATTGATGTTCATAAGATCGTAAATCGCAAAAATCACCTAATAAGAGCATGGATTCTACGAACAGAATACACTAAAAGAAAGTTGGGACAATACTGAACCGAATCAAATCGCTTAGCTGAAAGGTAGCATAGTATTTAACAGAAACGACAAAATACTACAAGGAAACAAGTAGTACAAAGAAACTAACAACAGTTAGATACATTACGTAACATAAGACAGTGGACTCGACTGCAAAATTACCACCAACCTAATATATCAAGGTGGTGAGTCCATGCACTATAATGCAATGTAAAGTCCTCACGTTGTCTAATTCCAAAGCGGAGATTTTGTTAGCTACGATCCACAAACACAAACCTCATCTACAACACTACATTCAGGCTACACACCACATGCTTCAGAAATGATACCGGTGTACGCGAAGCATGACAACTTGAACCGATGCACCTAGGTGCGAGTACTATAAGAGTCCAAGTCAAACCATACTGCGGAAATAATGCTGACGAATGCCTAAATAATGTGATAAGTGGTGTTAGTATTGCGAGCGAGGCGTAAGTAATAGAAATTGTGTCCCAAAATTTCCCTGAAACGCTGAAATAATACAAATAGTGCTGAAATAAGGCGAGAACTGTGCGTAAATAAAGCTTTGTTTACGCATGCACGCCTAAATTATTCTGCAAGTGCGTAAAGTGCACGTGTAGTCCGTAAAACTCCGCCTAAGTGTTGCATTTCAGCATTCTCAATCAGTGCATTGACCTGCATTACTTCCGCATTTACACGCATTATTTCAGCATTCGTGTTTGACCGGAGTCCCTGTCTTCGTGACTAAAAACTGCGAAAAACAACTTTTTCTTATTTATGTGCCAAAGATCATTCGGTAGTTGCCGAAGGACGGAGGGATTCCACTGTTCTATCTTTTAACATCATCAATCCCTCGTAACTTGGTTCGTTTTTATGTTGAAACAAATGAAAATGTTGACTGGGAACCTTAAGTGAGGCCACATGGAAAATAACTGAAAACTTGAAGGAATATCAAAAAGTCAGAAAAGGGACGCGAAGTTTCCTTGGGGTAGTGCCCAAGTTTTCCGAAGTGCCCCCCAAGTCAATGGCTGCTTACGCCATAAATTTATGATGTTAAAGCATCCCAGCCAACATTCACTTTGAGCGCTCTTTAGAACTTTCCGGTTTCACCCGAAGCTACTTCGGGCGCACTTAGCAACTTTTGGGCATTCCCCCTAAATTTCACAAATATTTCACTTGACCGCTAACACTTTATTGACATCTATAACATAAACACATATAGTACATAAACGTCAAATATTTAGATAGAAATATTACGGATTAGGCCTTCTCATCACTTGGGATATGGGCTATTACAAATCTTCAGGCGCATTGTAGAAACTTAGGGCGCACTTCGTGACTTTTGACACTTTCAGGGAAAAGGTTTAAAACATTCGGCGGATATCGTGCGTCGCCCGATATGCTCATGAAGTAAAATTTTCGGTTTTAGCCTGAAACTCACAATGTGCGCCTTAAGCTAATGCTGGCTGGGATAATAAGTAATTTCCAACTCTCTCCATTATGAGGGATATAAAATTCTACCATTCCTGAGATACTTCCGAGTAACCCTGAGTACGATAACTCGTCAGTGGCCAGCTTTCTTTATTTCGTAAAAGTGAAGAAGAAGACCCACCTCTGGCCTGACCCAAGCCGTCTCATTGGCTACATTGTTGTCACCATATGGGCGCCTCTTTCGTTTAAGAGATTCAACTTTCATTGATTAGACCACACTAACAACTACTGGAATTACTAATTAGATACATGTATTTTCGTTAGAAAAGTAGGTTTTCAGTAAATAAAAAACTTTTTTCGCTACTTCATAAGTGTGGAGACTGCATCTTAGTCAGCATTTACTTCCGGCGCACTTTGTAACTTTTGGGCAAAAACCCTATAATTTTACTTCGGACACATTTAGGGCGACGCACGAAATCCCTCGAATGTTCCAAACCCCTTCCCCGAAAGTATCAAAAGTCACGAAGTGCGCCCTACGTTTTGAAACGTTTCATGCTCATCAAACATTATACAAAAGTCGTAAGTATGTAGGTAAACTTATATTGTGACAATAAAAATTATAGAATACTCCTCTCAGATTTCTTGCAAATCGATGACACACTGACGAACTGGGTAGCCGAGTGCTCTCCGCGTATGTGCCGACGAAGATAGGGACAACCTCACCATCTTCGGGTAATTCAGTCGCCTATTATAATTGTATTGGGGAACACATTAAGCTTACCGTTTTGCCCTTTTTTGGCTTTTTCACCCTCATCTTAATACACGATTTTACATAAAAATGTGTATAAACCACTTCAAATAAAAGCAATGTGTCCTTTTCATCGTTTTTTTTACACATTCTGTACATTCTTCCCAATACTTGTAAAAACGAATGTTGTTTATGCATACACACCTTTTTGGTTGTGGCGGTAATTGCATCTTTTGCTGCTGCTTATCGTGGAAATATAATGTGCTTCTAACCATTCCGACTTCTGCCTCCGTGACTATAGCCTGCCGTGCATAATAACTGATTGCCTTGGGATTTTACAGGACTTTTCATCCTACTTTCAAATATTACAACAATCAAGCAGACCAACGGCCACTGAGGAGGGCCAACAAATATCGCCTTCTGATCTCTGAAGTATCCCAAAATTGTGGTGGACAATACCGAGGAGATAACCTCCAAGTAACCAGTGATTATCTATAACACTGACAATACTGTTTGTGCTATGACGTGTAACTTTCCATACATGTGTATCATAAAATCCATTTTTCTTGCAAATTGTACGTAGTTTGTCATTTTGATTTACTTGACATTCTATCGGTCCACTACAGAAGTTGGTAGAGCACCCTTCAAGGTCCCAAGCCCTTGAAACGGCTACAATGACCAATCAAAATCAACTATGTGAAAAACAATATATTCAATAAGAAAAAGGTATTTTACTTACAATTTGTAAATCTGTCTAGATTTTCAATAGGTTTACCACCTTCAAAGCCATCCTTTCATCTCCCTTAAGACTAATCTATATGAAACACCCAACATCTGTGACGTTGGTAGTGGTAAAATTGTAACATTCAAACTCTTGCCTCTAGGTCTTGAGGCCCGGTTCTTTTCGCTTGGTCAAGCTCATTCAGTGGTTGGAGAATTATCTTCAATTTACCTGCCGTAAGTTTTAAAGGTGGTGATTGTTTAATTGAAGGTTTGCCTTTACATACCGTAGACTGGTTCGTTTGTGTAAGCAACGAAGCCGGGAGTATGCTCAACAAACCTTTTATGATTCCCGTTTTCGCAAACACCTACTTTTGAGCACTTAGTGCTATCTAAAAACGTGCGAGAAATGTGGTGGGTTCAAACCGTTCAAATAGTTGTTGACAGAGTAGAAAAAGCTTTCGTTTGACTGGCTTCCGCGTCCAGAACCCGTAGATCACTACTTTTTGTGGTTGTTAACCGTTGTAAAAGTAAGGATAGGATAAAATTTGATGGGCGAAATGTGAAAACTTAACCAGTTCTGAGCAGATCCCACACGCACTTCAAGCAAGTATCAAACCGGTGTTGAAAGGATTCAGTCGAGATAACCCGGATCGGATCGTCGGGGTAGGCATTTCAGGGCTTAGCAACTCCTAGGCAATAGAAGTTGTGCCTGATATCTAACCTGCTATGTCCCAGGCTTACTTTGTGTGTGCGTCCTCTAAGACTGATGTTACGGTTAAGATTCAGTGAGTGATGTGGTGGGTGTCCAGGATTACTCAGGATGTTGCAAGCCAAGGTTGGGGGCCCACGTCGGTTTTTTATAGTCTACGGTAGATAGATCCAGTGCAACCAGTCATTCTTTATATTTTTCACCTAAGCCCTCCAACTAATTTAGTCAAGCCCCTCTGGATGCGTTCTGAGCTTGATTTGTACTCCTGCGGAGAAGGAAAGAAGATAACGGCCACGAACTCCAGGCGAGGCCATATGAAGCTGCTGAAAATGTGGCGAAAACATCTGCGATTGAATTTTCCCATAACTCGTTTGAGTGTTAACCACGCCAAGTGTCCACCAGATGCGCTTCTATCACAGTAAGTATTCGACTTTTAAGTAATGAGGAGCTTAAACGCGCCAAACTTTCTCTGTCAGTGATGCCTCAAGTTCCATGTACTTACGGCCATATACATGACGTCATGATTTACATCTAACAGCATGCAAACTTTTATGATTAAGTACAACCCCACTGTTGGCCACCCAGATTTCAAGCTGAGTTGAGTCTTACCGTAGGTAGACACTACCTTCGTAAATTTCAGGTTCTATTCATGGATTCACGTCGTCGAAAAAAGATGGATTTCGCAAGAAACGTGTTGAGGGGAGCCGTTTATTTGCATATATATTTGAAAGGGAACATACCCTAGCACTGAGCCTTGGGGAACACTACTAGGACAGTAAACAATGCGAAAAGAGTTGTGAAAAAGAACTTGTGGAAAATAACTTCCGCTAATAATGACGTTGAGGAGGGATAGATCTCACTGCATATACTGCAGTCGAGAGATACCGGGATGAATTAACACACCCTCACTTACTTATCGAGCGGTCGTTTAAGGGAGACAACTGATGTTGCTGTAGCTACTTCCTTCAACAACGCGTTCCATAAGGTACACACTCTATGAGAGATCTTACTCCTGACGTTTCCCTCTGATGGAGTATGTCAGTGAGGTTTCCATGAGACTGGCGGTTTAAAGCCCAGCTGGGCTCTTTCTCTGTTCTTCCGATTATGTGGCGTGGTACACTAAAAGGAAGTTCTGTATGATTTCTGGTGTAGCCCTTATCTTGCCTTCAGTACAGCTGCTATGGAGGTGCCCATAAACCCATCCTCCTGGTCGGTGCACTGATGATGGTATAGTGGGGTTCACGTGGGTGGTATACCGTTTATTTTATGGAAATCTTAAAATGTTTGAGATGATGTCAGGCGCGATGCATCCTAAAATACTGTAGCACACGAAAAATGTAGTGGGGGCTTCTGTGGCTCGTTTGCTGGAGAGCGGGGTGATCAGAGCTACCTCGGGCCACTTTGAGTGGGCGTCCACAGAGCCGATCAATACACATCAGCTGCTGGCCCAGTGAGATCGAAGTGTAGTCAAGACCGTTACCGTGATGGAGGCCGTGCCAGAGGCTGCTCTCGGGACAGGTTCTCGGCCACGGCTTGACACGAGCGGTGCCAGTTAACAAACTCCATTACTTTGGCTTCTATACCTGGCCAGTATGCACGACTTCTGGCTATGGACTTCATACGTACGATATCCGAGTGTCAGTTGTTTCAGGGCTGTCACTCGCAAAATTTCATGTATAACCACTCTTTTTCGGAGCATCAGGCGCTCCTTAACGATGCTGAGACCATGGCAGTGGCGGGATTATTGTTCCAGTTCTTGGTTTGACTCCGATGCTGGCAGTGAGTTTCGGACAAACTCTACAGCTTGTTGCGAAGTTTCATCCATTTGCATGCCCTGCCCTATTTGCTCCACCGCGATGTGCAACTGCTTGATTGCAAATGTTAAAAAATTATGAGCCGTTCTTGCAGTCCTCACAGCCGCACCAACTTTTCATTCATTTAACAAAAGGTACTTGCTTATAGCTTCGACTCAGTCACATATTATGTCTGAGGGGATCTCCGTGAGCTGCAAGTTCTCAAACTGGTCCAACCTCCACAAATCTACGCATGAATTATTCACATAGCATGTACCAATGAACTGGGTCCCACGGGAACCAACATTACACGTTAATTGTCCACCCAGTCGAATTCTCCCACCACAAACGCTGACCGCGATTTGATTTGTCTTTTCCACGGTGGGTCTTCCTAATTTTTGCCACAGATTCTCCGATATAATCATCGTGTTCATTGCCCTGTCCGTTTGAAGACGTGTAGGCTGGTAGTGGATCATGACATCGGCTTATCTGCGTAGGGCGCAGGTTCTGGCGTTGTAGGTAGCTGTAATACTCATGAGCTCTGGCGTTGGGCGCTGACGGGATCGACTTCTGGACTTTGGTCGGTTATTATGCCCTCAGTTATCATCTTTGTGTTTAATATTAAGGTGCCGTCCGCATTCACGGCGTTTGAACGGGCACAGTTTTACAAGGTGCCGGGCCCCGTGGTGCCAGCGTGCTGTGGGCGGTTCCTGATGCGGTGCGTTTGACGCCGACGGTGCTGAGTGGACTGCATGTACTCCTGCTGCGCTCCTACCGCCAGAGTTGTCCAGGGTAGTATCTTCGCGAAGGTTAGTTAATCGCTGATGATCTTCTCAAATATCTTTCAGTGCCCTGCTCTGATCTGTTTAAAAAGTGTGTTTGTATATCAGCGAATTGTGGCGATTGTAGCCCGCAAATGAAAATTAAGACTCCTAATCGGTCTTCCGTAAGTGATAACACTAGATCCACATACAGATCAAAGTAGTTAACAGTCGGTGGGAGCTCGGCCTTGAGAGGAGAGGGAAGAGAAACTAGGGACGGTGTGAAGACAGCCAAGCGGGTTATCTTAGAGTCATGGGTAAAGCAGTGGGGGAGGCTGTGCAGAAATAAGGGTTTATAGCAGACTAATGGCTTTCGCATACTGTGGCGGCTTCGTACAGCATTCATGTGCTTTTATGAAGACATTTGAGATTGTGGGCCTTATCTACTCAAAACCCCATTTAGAGGATCATATCAAAGCGGCTAGTCCGTGTTACGAAAAGAAAGTGGACAGTTTAGAATGGGTTCTAGGG